TTAATAATTAACATTTAGTTTTCATGCTGATGCAAACCAAAAAACAAAAAAAACACAGAGGCAAAAGTTGCATGTGTATAAAAGATAGCAGCTAGAATTAGAGAACTTTTTTTTTCCTTATCATCTCCTTTTCTAATTTGAGTTCATTCTTAAAAGGCTTTTGAATACCTACCTACCTGTATCCCCTGATAATGACCTCGGTACATTTCCACAGTAGGTTGCTGGAAATACACTACTGGTTCAAAACAAAAGCCACAAATAGTTGAGAGGTGGGAAAAAAAATGAGGAATATCATTAGGATCAGAAATTAGTAACAATGTTAATTCAAATAGTTAAATGACTGCTGAAACCAGCATAAACTTGGGGCCATGCATCTATTCTAGCATGCTGGATTTAGCATTTATTGGACAATGCATGTGCTTATACATCTTGGCAATAGGATACAAAAACAAAAATGAAAAACACTGTTCAACACTTATGAGTGAGAACATGCAGGGTTTGATTTTCAACCACCATGGCATGTGTATATCTATGTAATAGTCCTGCAGGATCTGCACATGTGCCCCAGAACCTAAAGTATAATTAAAAAAATAATAATAATAAAAAAAGAAAAACAAACAAGTGTTTATTGGGAGTCTTAAAATGTGCCTCAGAACACTCTAAGCATATCCTTAGACACCTAGCCAAAACTAGTCAAAAACAACAATTCTGGATGAAAATGCTCTAAATATAGCCCTCAAATAATTCCCAGAGATAAATTTCCAAAAATTATTAGCCCACATAAAAAACAGGAGAACACTTCTACCATGAGCAAATATAACAGTTTTTTAAAAAACGCCTCCTAAAAATTGTAGCAATTTTAATTTTTGATTTACAGTAACTATAATATGTATATTTTATTTATTTGAAATTAAAGGTTTATAAAACACATGATTAAGGAGCATGAGATTCTCAAAATTGACTAATTTTGAAAAGTACTAAATACGGCTTCTAGAAATTAGATACATAAACATAAATATTTTAAACATTTAAAAATCTAACAAATATTAGATGATATTTACAGCAATTATATTCAGATAAAGAAAGGATTGGCTGGGCGAGGTGGCTCGCGCCTGTAATCCGAGCACTTTGGGAGGCTGAGGTGGGTGGATCATGAGGTCAGGAAGTCAAGACAAGCCTGACCAACATAATGAAACCCCTTCTCTATGAAAAACACAAAAATTAGCCAGGCGTGGTGGCACATGCCTGTAATGCCAGCTACTCGGGAGGCTTAGGCAGGAGAATCACTTGAACCTGGGAGGTGGAGGTTGCAGTGAGTTGAGATCACACCACTGCACTCCAGCCTGGGCTACAGAGCAGCATCCTGTCTTAAAAAAATAAGAAAAATCTACTCTCTTACCCTTAGCATGCCTACATCCACATTAAACTTTCCTCTTCACCTGTAATTATCAGAAAAGAAAATATTGAGCTTTACTATGTTAAAGTGAAACTTTAATAATTAATGTCTCCAATTTTCCTAAACTGAGACCAAGAGGAAAAGCAAATGGCCAAAATCATAGAAAAAGTGAGGGGTAGAGACATATTTAGAATTCAGGTCTCCTATGATGATGTTTTGGTAATGAACTCATTCTAACAACAAATTTAACATTTAACTCCGTCCTCTCTCTCTCTCTCTCTCTCTCTCTCTATGTTGCTTTCCCCGTTGTTCTCTATTTTCCTCTCTCTGAAGTTATTTTTATCATATACTCTCATTAATATTATCCTCTGCATTTCTGAAAGTTCCTTCAGTCAATAACAGAGCTGGTCACATATACTTGTTTTGCCGTGTGCTTTCCCTTTTATTCTGAGTTCCTTGAATAGTATTAGCATTTTTCTGTGTAGTTGTATACACATATATATGTACACTTGTGTGTATGTATTTGTTTGATCGTCCCATTTGGATAATAAAACTCTCATTTATGAATTTTCCCTACACGTTTTACATACCTAGTAACTTGTGATTAATGAAGTAACATCTCAATTTATGAGATGTTACTTCACTTATTCAATTCAATTCAAATACTATATCAGATACCTACTGTCTATTGAGAATTGTGCTACATGCCAAGAAAGCAGGTGTGGCTGGAACCTATGAGCAAGAGAAAAGAGGGAAAGAAGCCCCTTGAAGCAGTTGCAAGGCTGGGCCCATGTAAGATACCAAAGGGCAATGAAAAGCACAGTCAGGCAGTTGAGTCTTATTACAGGATAAAATGAAGTAATGGAATGACCTGATCTACATTTCAAAAGATCATTATGACTTCTGTGTGGAGCATATTTTAGGGTTATAAGTAGAAACCAGAAACCTGTTCAGAAACGTTTCTACTAGTCATGGTCCTGGACTAAGGCAGGGACAGTGAAGTGAAATTATAGAGATAGAGAAAGGCAGAGCTAAAGATAGACATGAAGAGAGAAAGAAGCGGTGTGTGGTTTGAGATCAATTGTGGGATGAGAGACGTGGATGTGAATGAGGACTTTTGCACAGACTGACATGGACTCTGACTGAAAATGAAGATTTCTAGGAATCCGGCCTTGACAACCTATATGATACTTCACTGTGTGTTAAATAATGCTTCCTATTTTAATAACATTTTAGAATTTATGTAATACATGTTTTCCTTATATATACACGCTGTCTTTGATGCATATGTTAATTTTTCTATGCAGATAAACAAACTAAAGTTCTGAAAAATACTATATTGGCCAATTTCACAAGCACAGTAAACAGCAAAATCAAACCCTAAAGGAAGTTCAATATGCTTTCCATAGCCCTACCCCTACAGAGTTACCCCAATGATTGATTTTCATCCATAACAACAAAATAGCCCTCAAGCTGATCAAATGAGGAAGTTGAGTAGGGAGTGAAAAAAAAAAAAAAACAAAAACGGTTGCTTACATAGTTTAATAAATAACAAGGACAGGAAGACAGGAAGCTAAGTTGGTTGAGTTGCAAAACTTTTTGAGTTATGTACTGACCTTATTTTCTGTAAAAGAGCAGTGCCTAAGGCACAAATTGGTCTTATAAACAATTTCAGAATATACCAAGTCTACTAGAAAACAGTTTATTTGTCAAGACCCATTTTTGTGTCCTCCTTGTCTTAATCTTCTGTAAGCAATTTAGGACTCCCTTCTGGCACAATAATAGAGCTAAATAATGTAGCTAAACATGCATATTATTGGAACGTTTTACAAGAAGTGAATTTTTTTACATGCCAAAATTTATTCTTTTAACACAAAATGGAATACATTACTAAATACAAAAACATTCAAAATCATGCATTCAATGAAATGACTGAAAGAACTCAGAATAATAAGAAAGAAAATATCCTTGATTTTTAAAATCTTAACAGAGAGAAAAGTAAACTATCTCTTGAATGTGCTAGAATTATATTTGACTTTACACTATCAAGATGATGGGATTTAGAGAAAGCAAATATTCTAAACCTTTATTTGAAAGAGATAGATTTCCACAATTTTATCTTAATGCCACAGGACTAATTTTATGCTCATAAAATATTTACTGTCTTTGGAGGAAATAATATATATAGAAACAGCAATGATGTCATTTTAGACACTTTATTAGAAAAATTATTAAAGGATATGAATACAAACATTAAGATACTTAAATGAAATTATTGGAGTTTAAAAAATTATAATGAATAAGAACGTTTTAAATATGTGTATGCCTAAATACATATATCATACTTTTGCTCATGCAGGTTATATAGTATACCCCAGTGCCTCAGAATTGAAAAACAGGAAGAGGATAATGACAAAATATTCATAAAATATTGGTGAACACTGTTATAAATTACCCAGTTTTCTGTATTTCAGATTTTTCCTACTTAAAAAAATTTATACATAGCATTTGTTTTTTTCAGTCTCATTTGGTCTATTCCATGTCTAATTCTACAATAATTTGTATAATTACCTGTGGTTAAAGACAATGAATAATTTCATCTTTGATGCACATGTGAACTTCTTGGAATCACTTACAAATTGAGATTTCTGAATTCCATTTAGAATGAAGAAAGCAAGTGTCAAATTTAGTAAATCTAAAAGTTATTCTGATGATGATTTTTTTGGTCCCAAACATATTTTTAGGATATGTCTTGTTAGAAAGACAGAGTGTGAATTTCTATTTCTCCAGATTGTCTCCAAATTTGGTGTTATCCAACTTTGAAACTTTGTCTATTGAAAAACCACTATCTCACTGTTGTTTTCATTAGTATCTCTAATAAAAGTGATGAATACATATTTAAATATATCTTCTCATTCTTCTTAGCCATCTGGGTTTCCTTTGCCAATTGCAAATTACCTATGCTTTGATAATTTTTCTTTTGTGCTTTCATTATTTTTCTCCTTGATTTGCAATATTTCTTTTGTTAGTGTACTTGTTTATTCTTTGTCATATTTAAAAGATATAATTTTAGGGCTTTTTTCAATTTTATAACTTGAAGAAAAAAACACTATAGAAATTCTACTGCTAAACATAGCGAGAACTTTTGTGGTTTCCCCAAGTGCGTCATAGGATATATCATGATTGTGTTTATCATCTGTCTCCTCTATTAAAGTATATATCCTATGTGGACAGCATTCAAATTTGATTTATTTCTGGAATCAGCAATGTGTCAAAAGGACGTCAGCCCATATTCATCATAACACATTTAATATTTTCACATGAATAAATTATTTTGGCATTTCTATGAAACCATGCTGTTGAGTAGGCTGTGACCTAGGGGGTACAAAGTGGTTATTGCTCTCTTTCTTAAGTCACTATTTCAGGTACCCTTTGTTGGATATTCCATTCCCATTATTTAGCAGTATTTGTGATATAGCTTATAGTATTTTTTTTTCTTTGAGGTATTGAAATAGGCTAGTTCACAGCTATTAAAATGTTTTGTGTACAGACTCTAGATCACCAGGCCTTTTCATACCTCTTTCAATGCCTCTGTGATCCCTAGAGCTTAGGCTTCCATGTTGCCTCAGTGGGAATGGGGTGCATTTAAATTTTTGCTCCCAAAGCTTTAGTTTTCCCATCCCATTTTATCTGCATTCTGGCTTCTCAGTAGTCAAGGAAGGGAATTAAGGCAGGGGGGGAATGTGTTAAAGGAAAATGACAAATTATTTAAAAAATAATGTTGTCAAATCTGACTTCCTGTCGTCTATGGGTTGCAGGTGCCTGGAGATTTATTATGTAGGATTTTAAAGTGTTCTGCTGAGTATAGTTTATCTGCTTTTGCCAAACTGATTGGGATTTGTCTCCCTCGACAAGGACATTATAAAACAAATCAATATTCTGTTTCTGCTGAGATCAACTTACCTCATAAGAAAGCATCTCATGAAGGAACCTGAATCATGACTTAAGTTTTGCATTCCTCTGCAAGATTTCCTTGATTAAGAGGGAAAAAAATGCATCCTTGCTCCACCAAATCGCGGAAATTCAACTTTCCAACCGCTTCCCTCTCTTCTTGCTTGGTTGTTACAGATATCTCTAGCCCATTCTTCTTCAAAGTGAAGGATAGATTATCCTGGAGAATATTTAAGAATTTTTAAGGACTCATGAATTCTAATCATTTTAATGTCTTCATCTTTAACTTCTAAAAATATTTGTTCCAATGCCATGCATGAGAAAAAGTCTCAACAAACTGAAAAACAGAGAAGAATTTCCTTAATGTGATAAAAGATTTCTAATCTGAAATTAGAAATACAATACTTTTTGTAACCCTCAAATTAAACACTTACGCATAAAGCTGAATAAAATATGTAAGGTAAGCTAAAAGTCTAATCAAAGTAATAAAAGAAGAACTAAATAAATAGATCTTTCATATTCATGGATAAAAGACTTAATATTGTCAAGGTGTCAGTTCTTACCAAATTAAAATATAGATGTAATGCATTTTAATCAAGAGCTCAGAAAGTTATGTTGCGGTTATTGCCAAACTGATTCTAAAGTTTATATGAAGAGGTGAAAGACCCAGAATAGCCAATTCAATATTGCAGGGGAAGAACAAATTCAGACTACTGACACTGCCTGACTTCAATACTTACTATAAAGCTACAGTAATCCCGACAATGTTGTATTAAAGAAAAAATTGATAAATAAATCAACAAAACAGCCCAGAAATAGACCCACATAACCACACTGCCATTGTATTACTTTTGCTGTTTAGTCAAAGATCAGTTGACTTATCAATGGAGCAAAATAGCCTTTTCAACAATTGGTCCAGGAACCATAGTATTTCACATGCCCCCATTCACCAAAAGAAAATCCAAACACAAACTTTATACCCTTCACAGAAATTGCCTCAAAATGAGTTATAGACCTAATATAAAGTACAAAATTATAATGTTTCTGCAGGAAAACAAAGAAAAAATCTTGGGTTTGGGATGATCTTGGATATGGTAATGGCTTTTTAGATAAAACACCAAAGACATGACCTGTGAAAGAATTGTTAAACTGAACTTTGTAAAAATTAAGAATTACTTATCTGAGAGACACTGTCAAAAGAATGAGAAGACAAGCAACAGATTAGAAGAAAATATTTGTGAAAATACAAGTAATAAAGGACTATTTTTAAAAATATATGAAAGAACTTTTACAATGCAGCAATGATCAAATGAGCAACCCAATTTACAATTGGACAAAAGACCTAAAAGCACACCTATGAGATGGCCAAAATAGAAAGCACTGACAATACCCGATGCTGATATGGATATGGAACATTAGGAACTCTCATTTATTGCTGGTGAAATTACAATATGGTATCAAATTTGATAGTTTCTTCTAAAACCAGGTATATTCTTCTTTTTTTTTTTTTAAATTCATCTTCCTAACTGAAAAAGAATTCAAGTATATTCTTATCATATGACCCAGCAATTGTATTCTTTGTTATTTACCCAAATGAATTGAAAACTTCTGTCCACACACAAATCTGCACATAGATGTTTTTAGTATCTTCATTTATAATTGCCAAAATTTGGAAGTAACCAAGATGTCCTTAAGTAGGTGAATAGACGAGTCAACAGTGGTATATCTAGACAATTGAATGTTATTCAAGACTAAAAACAAATAAGCCATTGAGCCATTAAAAAACATTGGAAAGACAAAGTAAAAGAAACCAATCTGGAAAGGCTTAATATGGTAAGATTCTAACTATATGAAAGTGTGGAAAATATAAAACTGTGGAGACAGTGAAAGGATTAGTGGTTGCCAGAGGTAAAGGGGAAAGGAGAGATGAGTAAGCAGAGCACAGAGGACTTTTAGGGCTTTGAAAATACTCTGTTTGATACTACAATGGTGGATACGCATCATTATTCATTTTCCCACATCCATAGAATATACAAGAGCAAGAGTGAACCTAATGCAAACTGTGGACCTTGAGTGATCCTGTTGTGTCAATGTAGGTTTATTTATTTTAACAAACATAATACTTCGGTGTTGAATTTTGTTAGTGGGGAAGGCTATACATATGTGGTATATGGAGTATATAGGATATATCACTTCTTGCTGCTCAGTTCAAAGAAAGAGATAGTTAAGTGATGAGCCACAAATAATAAGCTTATTGAGTTATTATATTTAATAGCTAGTGAGTGTTATGAGGAGCATGGCTTTGGAAGACATATCCATTTCCTATGTGATGCTTTATAAGGTGAAATTTTGCCAAATGATAAAGGTTTTTTAGAAATTTTAATTTATGAAATTTAAACTCTGAATTTCTTTTGGTATATACATCATAACATTTTCTTGAGGGTAAAAACATTTTTAAAATAGAGAAAGCTGCCATGCATCCTACAATCTATATACATCTGCATATAATTCAACTGTAATGTAAATCATATGATCACAATTTTTATGTTGAGTGAATATTAATTAAAAAGTATAAATGAGTTCAAAGTTTTTTAGTGCCATCCGTATTTCTGCAGAAATGATTCATTAACTCTTAAAGAGAATTAACAGTGAATTATCAAAGTTAGCTATTTTGTCAAATAAAATAAAACCTATAAAAATTCAGTGTCATAATATTAACTAAACAAATTGTTTTACATAATATAGATAATAGGAATTTTTATTCTATTTTATTTATGACTTCAATAATTGATTCACACTCCTTTCAAAATCAATAATTGTAGAATATTATCATCCTGAATATATAATATGCAT